GACAGGAGGCTTCGCCAGAAGTACATGGGCAGACGTTGCTACTTATGTCCAGAAACAAGCAACAGCCCGCGAAGGACGCCAGTTGAAACTACGGTGCACTCCGGCATCAAGCATGCGCGTGCGGCTGGCCTGGGCGCCAGGTTCAGCATGATAAATCGGAGGGAATCGCGCTAGCTCGCAAGATGTGGGTAGCTACCCACGGCCCCGCAGAGAGATGGCACTCGCCCGTTGAATCCATCTGCGGCTGTTCAAGCTCAGTCGCCCACGTGGAAAGCTAGATGCTGACACATTGGAGATGACAGGCGACGACCGGATCTCACGCACCATTAAAAGTCTGGAATGACTGAAGGAGCAAGCACGCGGCTCAAAGCGCAAACTGGCACGAGGCTTGCTACCTTCACCACCACGGACTCCGGGCTAAGAACCTGTGCCGGGGGCACCTGTCTGGCAGCAAGCACGGCGAGCACCTGGAGCAGTTTCCCTACCTTCTGCTCGAAGAGCAGCGGAAGACAGCATGTGGGTGGCACAGGAGCCTTCGTGAACCTTGGCACTGCACAAGTGTCAGGCAGACTAGCAGGCCGACGAAGCCGCAACGAAAAGCCGGTAGTCACCGGGAAGCCACGCAGAGCCAAGCAGAAGGGAGACGCTGCACTGAAAAGGCTGAGAAGTCATTGAGGCATCTGGGCTCGGTGGGCTTCTCGTCTAAGTCTTCGAGACTATGTTCGACTACTGATCATCCGCTGGCCAGAAGGCAGACATTGCCAGGCTGTAAGCACGTGCAGCACATGTTTCCGGGACTTCAGCTAGGCCGATGCCTGGGCTTGCGCTTTTGCAGACTTCCTCGTTACGGTATACCCCCAGTCAAAGCAAGAAGCTAACATTCTCCATTGCCACTACCCAGCCCGCGAGGCAACTCGAAAACGGCAGCGGTGCTGCTGATGCTGCGGGTCGCACGCCACAGTCGAGAGGCCAGGCAGCGACAAGGCCTCGTCCACGGACGCACAGCACTCGTCCCAGGAGGTGCAGGAGAGGTGCAACCCGCGCAGCTGCATGCCATGCACTGGAGGGACTTCGCGGGGCTTCCTTGCAGCAATCAAGACACCATGGGACACAGCTTTATTTGTGCATCTGTTGGGGCATCCAAAAACTTGAGTGGAGAACGGGGTCGCGAGCCGCAAGAGTGCACCTGACAAAGCATGTGAGGCCATACCGAAACGCACACTGGAGTCATGGAAAGGATGGTGGGGCTGGTGGTCTCCACGGCTTGGTGAATCCTCAGCACCATTCCGGAGCAAGGAAGCGTGCTTGTGGGTTGGGCTCCTTGGTAGGGGAGCTTGCGTGCTGCTGCGCTCATCCTCCCAATTAGGCCGGTGACGAGCTGCGGGGCCAAAGGCACCGATTCACTGCGGCGGGACTCTGAGCCGGGACGGCGCGCAAGGCGAGCACGTGACAACACTTCGCAGGCAAGCGGCACCGACACAAAGCTGCTGCGACGAAGGCTTCCCTTGACAACCGCCTCACGCACCACGAGAGAAAAAACCCTCGAGAACGGCAGTGTCGTAGACCAGAATGCGAGTACTCGTCTCGAGACCTGGGCACGAAATCCGAGAGCTCTTGTTGCCAAAAAGCCCTAATGACCTACTTCAATGCCCTCAGAGATCGCTGGCTGGTTTCCATGAGTTTGGCGACCTCACACAGCGACACAGGTGCTCTGCCTGCATATGCAACTGGCACTCTGCCATGTGGATGTCCGAAGCTGCACCCGTCCTCGTAAGCTGCGGGATGGGCGACTGAGCCCAGCGTCATACTCGATCTCTAAGCGGTTAGACTGTACCAGGCGCCGCGGCTCGCAAGTCCACCAACTTCAAGCAAGACAGGAGCCGCTGCCCAAGACGTAACCAACACTGAACAACCAGTTCTCCGCGTGCAAAGATGCTTGCGACGGAAAGTAGTCGCTAGCGGCCGAACCCTCGTGCGGGGAAACAACCACGGCAAATGCTGGGAAAATTCATGGGCAGGCAAAAGAATAGGCGTCGGGTCATGGGGGCCATGCGAACTGCAAGCAGGAAAGTGTCAAGGCAGGCTGGCCCGGGTGGCTCAGGCCCTGCGACAGCATGCCTTCTTCGGCATAGTGCGGCATGTTGAGTGGAGCCAGGTGGGACGGGAAAGCTGGCTTCGGCTCCTGTCAAGCCCAGTGGGCATAGCCGAGTGGCGTAGCAGCGGTCCCTCGGCTTTGTGCGAGAGCTGCCACGTGCCAGGGCTGTGGCCAGCACCATTGGACCATGCCGGTAAATCGAGAATGCAGATCGCCCAAACTGCCTGCAGTCTGTCAGCTCACATCCCTGTGTCACTCGTGCACGCATGACGTGCTAGCAGCGGCCCCAACTGGACCAGAGCACAGCAAGAAGCCCGGAGCAAAGTGGGTGCGGCGCGCGTCCGCTGCCGGCATGGCACCTCGCCCGAGAGAAGTGCGTTGCACGTCGCTCCAAACCCAAGGGCCGACAACAGCGTGTTATGCGGACAGCTTCAAAGCGAGGCCTTTCACCGTGTCGACTCAGAGCAGGATGGCATCTGAAGTCATCTCTGTGCCGTAGCTGGGGGCGGATGGAGGCACGCCAGCATGCCCTTGAGTGCATGTCGTAATCAGCACATGCTGCTGAGGATGAGGATGGTGACCCCCTTCAGTCCGAGCCACTGCCACGGTGATCACACCTTCAACTTGGCCTTACTTGCATGAGCACAGTGCAGAGCCCCTCCAGCACAGCCAAGGGCTTCAGAGGCATGGAAGAAAGGGATTGGCTCTGCACGGCCTGCCGCAACCACAGGCCGTGCTCACAGCCGGCTATCGCAATCGCAAGCGAAAGCCCAACAAGTCGGGTCTTTGAGTTCAGCAACAGCTCTGGGAAGAGGGAGATACAGCGCCGCGCCTTTCTCTCTTTTCCCTGTGTAGCAGCCGGCAGTGCATCTTGCGATTAAGCTGGTAAGCCTGCTGGCGCAACGGTGGCAAGAAGAGAGGGCGAGGAGGTTGCTACGGTTGCCACGGTTGCCAGCCCCATGAACATGGAGAGCTAGGTCAGCGTGAGCGGGTTCGAGCGGCCCGGCACAGAAGCCAAGTTCTCGAACTCCGACTCGCAAACCGGGCGGAGCGGCCAGCACATGCCCTGCAGGGCCACAGCCGCGTTTGCTGTTCTTGCACGAAGAATTTGCTAAAAGTAAAACTCGAACAGCACTCGCACAGCCGGCGACTTCGATGCGGGGACGATAGCGCAGCCTTCGCAGGCTGCGTTGCAGGCGCCTGCACGGAAGTCTTAAGCCTTTCCGAGTCGCACTATGCCTTTGCTTGTCAATGTCGCCGCTGCACTCTCAGTCCAAGGCGGCCCGCTGCAGCTCAGAAAGGCGCGATTGGGACACTCCGAGGGCATCAGGGCCACTGGCAGGTGCAAACATCTGCATTGCTGGGCCCGCGGCGTCGCATCACGATCCGTCGCGACTTTCGGAGTCTCGCGCAGTGCCCAGGGCCAGAGGCGAAGGCACACGAGCCGCTCGCCCAAGGAGGCTCGGTAGACGGAGAGCAGCGAAACCGCAAAGCCTGCAGCAAAGCCCGGACATTCGCACTGGACACGGGCCGTGGCCCACATCGCTGCCTGGCCGATGTGAGGCACGCAGGGCCCAGTGCTGTGTGCTACGGCTGGCAGCATTGCCCGAGAACTGCTCCTGGGCTTGCGGTGCGCGGTAGCCTTGCTGTTCTCTGCATCGTCTTCGCAACCTTGCAGGACTTCGGAAGGCTTACGATGCCTTGCTTGATCCGTGCTTGTCCTCTTCTCCTCAGGCGCAAAGCCTGAGACTCGTCCCGGAGATGCTCCCACCTTCCAGACAGAGCGCAGGGTGCCAGCGCGGGATTCGCCCGGCCACATGCGCTCTTCCACGAAGAATCATACAGACCCTGTATGACCCTCCTGTATCTGTGGCGACAAACCTCCCAATCACCTGCCGGATGCGAAGCGGCGGCCTCCATCGCCTTCGCTTGGGAAGCGTGAAAGCGCCAGGGTGCTTCCTGCTCTTCTGCCCCCAACCGACACTCCGGCAAGTGTGCTTGGATGCACATCCTGCTGCTGCACTCGCCATACTCCAGCAGTGGCAACCGCACTGCATCCAGCTTGCACTTCGAGCTCGTGTCATCGCACGACCTGGCGGCCTAACCCGGCCTGGCCACATCGCGAAGGTGCAACCTCCTCGGGCACGGAGACCGTAGGAACTCTTCCGACACCGAGCATGTTCACCGACCGAGGATGCTCAGGTCCCCTAGAGACCGCCCGTCACCAGACAAAGCTGCAACGTGCTGGAGTTGGAGCACGGCGTCGAACCAAATGCATGTGGAAGGAGGAAAGACGAGACTTCGCGGACGGCCAGCGTCCGGACACGCAGAGCGACGCACCAGGGCACGCCGATCGCGCGCCGGGCAGC